ACACGACTCCATTAGCTGTAGGTGGTGATGGTTAAGCTCCTGCAGAGTCAGTAGAGTTGGTGGTATGGCTCCATTAGTTGTAGGTAATGATGGTTAAGAATGGTTGACATAGTAAGCAAGTAAGGCAAGCTCTTCGTCAAATGTGGGAAGCTAAATAAATGAAATATGTGTTGTCAACAATCAATATTTGAGCTACGTCGTTGATTTTTCAAGTCCCGAAAAAAAAAATAAACAAAGGGGCATTTACGAGTAGCCAAAATAAAGAAATAAATGATGCACCCATAAAAATTGCCAATAAAAATGTTCGATAACATTAAAATACCACAGGAGGTATCAATAAAGATCAAAATTATATATATCAACTATGAATTTTGAAACAAAAAACATGAGCATTGTTACTAATGCATGCTAGAAGATTCACAACGATAGAAAAATAGATTATCTTTTTAGCATTGTGCGAGAATTCAACACACACTCAAATTAAATGAAATAACTAGCAATGACACTATAAGTTTTTACGTGGAAACTCTGTAAAGGAAAAAAACAATGGGATCTGACTTAGCTGAAGAGTTCACTATAAAATGATGATTAAAGTTACAAACACTTCTCACACAGGCGGGAAAGGGTTAGAAGATCTCTGAAGTTGCAACGTTCACATGCAGATAAATTTGTTGCCATGAACGAGCAGCGAACAATAGCAATCTTCGGCAGCTGGCAGGTGGTGATCGACGACGGTTGGTGGCAGTCGGTGGAGATTTATAATGGTTGGCGACAATCGGCGGTACTCGACCGCTATTGATGATGGTGAACAACGACAAGAGTGGTGCTGGACTCCAGTTCATTCTCAAAGCTTCAAACTCTTCCTCAACCTTCAAGCTTTCTCCTCTCTCCATGAGAGGGTTGGGGCTCTATTAATATCCTGGTTTAATTAATGCAGGAATATGAACCACTTTGACCGGACGGTCCGGAGAGTTTCCTTTGATCAAATGGCAATTGATGTACATTTGAGTGTCTTTACTATGTCATAATTGAACGATTTTGGGCTTGTTGGTGAACTCGTCGTATTCGGCATTCGTTTGATCTTCTAATTATGTCCATAAAATTTTTCCAGGTTTGACGTCTTGATCGGGGCTTAATTTAGTTCGAATTTGACCAATTGTTGTACCATTAGTTGTCTCGTCAAGCCGATCAGTTCGAGAGTAAGTTTGGTGAAATCGGAGCCCTGTCTGACTTTTTATTAAAGTTTCTCTCGAGATTTATATCATATATCTCGAGATTCGTGTTGGTTGTTAGAAATTTGTTGATGAAGTGAACTCAATAATGAATGTGCAAATGAGTGTTGAAATCCTTCATGGAAGAGAACTATTTCTTTAGCTATCTCACTTCAAACTATAAAAAAAAAATAATCGGCAATCTTAGTATAAGATTTTTCGACATCCTCTCTCTGAAAAGGACAAGAACAAACGAAGAAGACAACCGTAAGCCACTTAGGTCACACGATGAGGAGCGGACGAGGCAGCCGAAAGAAATAAGACACAAACACGAAGCAAGTACAAAGTAGGGGATGCGGCCGAAAGAAATAGGAAGGGTTAGAAACCTAGGGTTTAGATCATCGGATGAGAATCCAATGGAACTGGAAATAGAGCAATGACATCTTTTTTGACAGTCTGGCTAGAAAGCGGTTGGACAACTAACATAGACATAGAGGGAAGTAATTTATGAGTTAGGTTGGAGGCGCCTCCCCACACCATCAATGCATTTACTCCGTTCAATAAATTGGATTCAATGATTTAACAAAAATCCGCCGATCCAATCTCTCGCCCGACTAGAAGTTCAGGATCCTCTCGCCGGCATTGGCGGCGCGGGCAATGGAGCAGCACCCGGTGGCGGAGGCGAACGGGGCCAGGGCCCCGCCCCCGGTGGCGGAGGCGAACGATCGGAGCCCCTTCGGCCGCCTGACGGCGGACGAGTTCTACGCGAGACACAGAGTCTCCCACGAGTCGTCTTCCTTCCTCGACCAGCGCGGCCTCCGCATCTTCACGCAGTGGTGGATTCCCATCCCCAACTCCTCTCCCATCATCGGCATAGTCGCCGTCGTTCACGGCGCTTCACGGGCGAGTCCAGCTGGCTCGTACACCCCCCCGCCGTACATATCGCCAAGGCCGGCTTCGCTGTCTGCGCCATCGACCACCAAGGTCACGGGTTCTCGGACGGCCTCCCCACTCACATCCCCGACATCGCCCCAGTCGTCGATGACTGCATCACCTTCTTCGATTCCTTCCGCGACCGCTTCCCTCCCAACCTTCCCTCTTTCCTATATTCCGAGTCCCTCGGCGGCGCCATTGCTCTCCTCATCCCCCTTCGCCGAGCCCCTGATGGAGTTGTCTCCCGCCCCTGGGACGGCGCCATCCTCAACGGCGCTATGTGCGGCATCAGCGAAAAGTTCAAGCCGCCGTGGCCGCTCGAGCACCTCCTCTGGGTTGCGGCGGCGCTGATCCCCACCTGGCGTGTGGTCCCGACAAGGGGCTCCATCCCGGAGGTCTCGTGGTGTACAAAGTGGAGTGGAAGCGGCGGCTGGCGATCGCGAGCCCGCGGAGGACGCTGTCTCGGCCCAGGGCCGCTACGGCCTACGAGCTGCTTCGAATCTGCCGGGATTTACAGGGCCGATTCGAGGAGGTCACCCTGCCTCTGCTCATCGTTCACGGCGGGGATGATGTCATTTGCGACCAGACCTGCGTTGAGGAGCTGCATCGCCGTGCGTCCAGCGAGGACAAGACCCTCAAGATATACCCGGGCATGTGGCACCAGCTGATCGGCGAACCGGATGAGAATGTGGAGCTTGTTTTTGGAGATATCATAGGCTGGCTTCGCACTCGGGCCGAGCGTTCGGCGGCCATCAACTCTTCCGCCGGCGGGTCTGCAGCTGGTTCGTAATTTATAGGAGATGGGTGGTCTGCCACTTCTTCGCGCCTCTGCAATAGTTAGATTCGATTGTGGGGTGGGGGTGGGATGACTCTTTATCAATTTAGCACTTGTTGTATTGGGTATGTTAAATGGAGGACTTCAAAATCGCATCTTTTCCAGCATTAGTGCTATGCAGTATTTGATTAATGATATGTTTAGTGCTAAATATATTCCTATCCTAGGCAAGGAACCCTTAATTTTAGTAAGGAAAATTTGAGCATAAATGTTCTATCGAATAAAGCAGCCATTATGTTTCCTTTAGGTCTGATTGCAGAGTATTTTCACTCCTAACGTAGTTTTGATCTGAGATATTCATCTAAACACAAAACTTTCAGGGCTATTTGGGGCAGCTTATAAGTGCGGGCGGAGTTTTCAAAACGTTGTCTCACCGTTTAAAAAACATGTTTTGACAGCTTATTCAAAAATGCAGTTGGATTTTTACACTAAACGCAGACCGCGGACCCATTTCAGAAACGTAGTTTTGATCTGAGATATTCATCTAAACACACAGAACTTTCAGGGCTATTTGGGGCAAGCTTATAAGTGCGGGCGGAGTTTTCAAAACGCTGTCTCACCGTTTGAAAAACATTTTTCGACAACTTATTCAAAAATATAGTTGGATTTTCACACTAAACGCAGACCGCAGGCCCATTTCAAGATAAACTGACTATCTGGATAAGTGCCTCAATCTCACCGTCAATTTTGAATTGGACAAAAGATACGGCGAAAAGTTTCATTTTGATCTGATTTCAAGATTCATGTTGTGGGAAATAAAAAAGATGTTGATGAGTTGAAGCGGGATGACTTGAAGAAGAAGATTTTAGAGATTTTTTTTGGAACCAAATGAGGACGCTCAAGTTGTGAGCATCATGACATGCTTGAGAAAATGATATTTATATCTAGTAAGCGCAGGCAATGTAACAAATGTGTGCATCAAAGCTCTTAGAAGAAAATTGCTATTGCAAACCAAACATGTGATGCACATCTTACATTTAACAGTTATGTTATCTCCAGCATGCATGTATTGAAGTCCTGAATACATATTTACACTCATCATAGCGTAGCAATAATGACTTATGGTTGATCCATGCACCAAAAATTTACCTGATTTAGTGTGCAAATATTTAGTAGAAGCTAAAACCGAGCTCAAATATATAATTTTTTCAATTATTTTTTAAGTTTTCGATAAAATTTATTCGAACAGCATGATAAAAAATAAGTATAAACAAACTATAAGATGACTTGTTGGTAAAATGGTGAATGAGTAAGCTATTAGAAGTTTAGCAGTAAATGGCAGTAGACAATTACAATTATCAATGCAGAACATGGATGGGTGCAGCCCTTCATAATTTTTGTTTAACTGGCAATAAATAGCAGCACTAGTTACGAAAGCAGGAAAAAAAACAAATAAATAAATAACACAGTGACTAGCACATAAAAAAGAGCATCAAAATATCCATCCACTGCATTGCAGTGAGCTCAATCAGTGTTCTCAGTCAACAATTCCAAAAGCTCAATTTTCTTAAGCTTGGAATATCCCTTGAAGCCTTTAGACTTTGCAAGCCCCCTCAATTCAGAGAGTTTCATGGAGCCCAAATCAGATTCCTGTATCATAGGTGGCTCTGACATCTCTGGGCTAGTTTCATCCAAATCAGAATCAGATGGGTCGGATTGATCAAACCCCATTTTACTCTCAGCATCCAAAGATTCGAGGTTCGCCGAATGATCATGTGCCAGCTCGACTAGATGCTGAGGTTGAGGATCAAGCACCGCAATCTCGGGCTCAGATGCCACACCTGCCATCTCTTGTGAATTCAACGTGGGTCTTAAACTTCTTCTACCTTCTTCCTCGTCGGACAAAACAGGCTGAAATTTCACTTTAGGTACAGGAGACTTGCGTTTAAATCTTGAAATAGGCCTCCTGCTTGAAGGAAAGGGAGGTTTCAGGTCATGAACCACATCCTGAGTACCAAGATGATCAGATTCAAAGAAGTTAGAATTATGTTCCTCTTCAAACAAGTCACTTCTCTCTGCTTCATCAAAGGGATTGGCCCTCTCAGGCTGATCCAGATCATAGCCATAGCCATCATCACTGCTGCTGCTCTTCTTGCTTTGTGCCGTCGAATGTTTCCTCAATAATTTGAGAAGAGAATCTACAGTTCCTCTATCTCCCTGGCCGACCTGTGCAGATTCAACTCTCTTCTCTTCCTTAATTGCTGCTCGCTCTCTTAGTTGTAACTGCACCTTCCTAAATAACTCAACAATCTCCTTCTCCCTTCTCCCAGGGGTGGCAGTGGCAGAAAACCTTTGGTTATTGGAATGGGAAACGAGAGACCCATTTTTAGAGGAAAGCAGATTATCCTCCGGGTTCTCAGAGTTTTCTTTTTCTTGGCTCTGTCTTTTGCCTTTTGATGATCCTCTGTACTTCCTAGAAAAATCAGGGTTTCTCTTGTTTGAACTACCCTTACACATGGACACAATTGAAGGATAACGAGAAACAGATGTCCTCAATGATAAATTTGCTTCTAGAAAGAGTTTCTGTCTTCTGTTGTTTGGTGAAAATGACATTGCACTTCTTCCTATTGCTCCTTGGTAATAAAGGAAATTACAATCAGAAACCATATACCCTGCAGGAAAATATAATATTTTGTCATGGCATCACAAAAGGCATAGAGATCACACAAGATATATTCCACCGTAACACTATGTGCGACGTGACTAAATAAATACAAAAATATGGCAACGGCCATTAAAAATGACAAATTAAAAAATATCGGCCCCAACAGATAATGATGAAAATGATAGCAGAGCGGA